ACGTGCTATAGACAATGTACATACTAACTTCTAACAGTACAGAGAACGTGGTATAGACAATGTACATACGGAGAACGTGGTATAGTCAATGTACATACGGAGAACGTGGTATAGACAATGTACATACGGAGAACGTGGTATAGACAATGTACATACTCACTTCTAACAGTACGGAGAACGTGGTATAGACAATGTACATACTCACTTCTAACAGTACGGAGAACGTGGTATAGACAATGTACATACGGAGAACGTGGTATAGACAATGTACATACTCACTTCTAACAGTACAGAGAACGTGGTATAGACAATGTACATACAGAGAACGTGGTATAGACAATGTACATACGGAGCACGTGGTATAGACAATGTACATACGGAGAACGTGGTATAGACAATGTACATACGGAGCACGTGGTATAGTCAATGTACATACGGAGAACGTGGTATAGACAATGTACATACTCACTTCTAACAGTACGGAGAACGTGGTATAGACAATGTACATACTCACTTCTAACAGTACGGAGAACGTGGTATAGACAATGTACATACGGAGAACGTGGTATAGACAATGTACATACTAACTTCTAACAGTACGGAGAACGTGGTATAGACAATGTACATACGGAGAACGTGGTATAGACAATGTACATACTCACTTCTAACAGTACAGAGAACGTGGTATAGACAATGTACATACGGAGAACGTGGTATAGACAATGTACATACTCACTTCTAACAGTACAGAGAACGTGGTATAGAGAATGTACATACAGAGAACGTGGTATAGACAATGTACATACTCACTTCTAACAGTACGGAGAACGTGGTATAGACAATGTACATACAGAGAACGTGGTATAGACAATGTACATACAGAGAACGTGGTATAGACAATGTACATACTCACTTCTAACAGTACAGAGAACGTGGTATAGACAATGTACATACAGAGAACGTGGTATAGACAATGTACATACGGAGAACGTGGTATAGACAATGTACATACTCACATCTAACAGTACAGAGAACGTGGTATAGACAATGTACATACAGAGAACGTGGTATAGACAATGTACATACTCACTTCTAACAGTACAGAGAACGTGGTATAGACAATGTACATACGGAGAACGTGGTATAGACAATGTACATACTCACTTCTAACAGTATAGAGAACGTGGTATAGACAATGTACATACGGAGAACGTGGTATAGACAATGTACATACAGAGAACGTGGTATAGACAATGTACATACGGAGAACGTGGTATAGACAATGTACATACTCACATCTAACAGTACAGAGAACGTGGTATAGACAATGTACATACAGAGAACGTGGTATAGACAATGTACATACTCACTTCTAACAGTACGGAGAACGTGGTATAGACAATGTACATACTCACTTCTAATTGTACGGAGAACATGGTATAGACAATGTACATACGGAGAACGTGGTATATCGAAGCCAAGACTCCCAAACCAGAGCAACAACATAACCATATGCAATCCGAGGTAATTATTCTAAATGTTGGGTACAATTAGCAAACACTGCCACATAATTGGCCTAATGAGACTAAATACTCGTCCATTAGAAACATGAAGAGCTCTGTTATTGTTGAACAGCTGACTGATGAGACAATGCATGTTTTCATCGACTAAAATGTATATCAATCAATCTTCAATTAAATCAATCTTCAATTTTTCATGTCAACTATTATGTAGGATTCCGCCAAGACGCTATCTCATACAACAATGATAACGTTAGCAGATGCCAAGTCACTTTACCATGTTTACAATCATTGCAGATAGGATTTTTTGGAAACACATGTCAGTGAATTATTAGAACAAACACTAAAGTTACAATATCATTGTTTCAGAAACAAGGTTTATCACAATGTTCCCACTCACTTTTGTCAAGTCCCAAGCAGGAATTCAACTCAAGTTACTTAGCCAGGAGCGAGGCCGTGTGTACACCTGACGCAGGAACGAGGAAGCAGCTTTACTTTCTGTTTGCCATGTGACAGCCCTACTGGGCCACAATACCAGCCGTTAATGCAAACATACGCTAAAAACAATTCCACCAACTTGCAGAACATGGAAATATTTAGAATCCTTTTAAAGCAAGCTTGACTCAATGCGGGCCAAATCTGGGACACATTTAACTTGGCCTGGGCTTTGATTGTGGCCAATATCTAAAAGTCATGTGCTAGGTAGAAATGTTATGCATTATGAGGAAATGGGAAAGAGGTTGAGAGGTTGGTGAAGTTCATGACACAGCTTGTCGTGTGGTGAGGATTGATGTCTGGGCCATGTGTAGAGTGGAACTAGTACTGTGGCCCACCTGGTCGTCCCAGGGTCTGAGTCGTGCCTGTCTGCATCTACCACAGGCAGGAATTGACCAGGAATGTCTGCCAGTCAGGAACCGTTCCTTGTGCTGGCATCGGTCGACATACACTTCTAACAGAGTATCCCAATGCATCTACCATGGATCAAGATGTAGGAATAGTCCGGTCCCAAAATACAAAATAGTTCTGACCTGAAATGTGGTTTTCAGTGTGAGGGGTTGAGTATTGAGCAAGAACAGCCGACAACTATATTTGATTTCCAATCAAAATGTCTTGAACAAATTTGGTCTCTTCAGAGCTTTTGGCCAACTAGTCCTAATAATGATAACATATAGCAAAACCCTTAAAATGGGCAAATGTCTACTCGTCAGTATGATTCGTTAACTTTAAGTAAGTTGGGCAAGGACTTTTGGACTAGTGCTGATTTCCAACTTTGCTCTGGTGGACGAAGTTTTGAAAAGACTTGATGTTAATAATTATAAAATAAAAGATGGCTACCTGGTGGCCTGATTGAAATTCTAATTTTGATTCCTTGAACTAACCTGACACCCTCAAAGTAAATTAAATCCACACAAAATTTCAGCTGAATCTACCATACGATTTTGGCGAAGAAGCTGAATGATTGCAAAGTTGCAAAAGAAAAATTTACATGGCCTTCTCACGTGTCCAGCAGGTGAGCTAAATATAATTCTGAGGCTTCAGAAATGGACTGATCAATGAAAAGGACGGAGCGACCTTTCTAAGTAGTGAGTGAGTGAGTGAGTGAGCATGGTTTTACGCCACTTTGGGCAATATTCCAGCAATATCACGGCTGCCTCTCTAAGTGACTGTTATGTACGCTAGAGCTGAGTATCTTCATACATTTATTTATTGTTGTCTCAAAACCTTTAACAAGAAAACCACAAGAAAAAAACAGTTTTAAATCAAGGGAAGATTATTAAATGTAACAGTTTGTCCGTACCTGCTCAGCTACTACATCGTGTGTTCTGCCTAGCTTATAGATTGCACTATGCTACTTCTGCTATTATGGTGAGTTCCTATCCTATACATAGAGTATTGCCATCTCACAAACTGACGACTTAAGTACTGTGCGTAGATATCGTAGGTATCCGTGAATCGTGACAGCCCTAAGGTACACCCAGTCTGAAGCCGAATTGTCTTGGCACACCTACATTTCCCTATTTGAGCTGTATTTCCCAAAATGCATAACCTGTATATATCACGAAATCCATAGAACATAGTATAATTATGTTATTCATGTTACTTGTCAGTATTTACATAAAGTTTATAAACACGGAACTGCACTCTTAAATGATGAGTGATATTTATAGTTCAATGAAACATAATGTCTCAATGTTAAACAACTGTTGGCAACATTTGAAACATGTACCACACTTTCTTGCATATGATTGTACATCTGCCTTTATATTAGCGTAAGTGCAGTACATGTTAATAAAATCAAGCATGTATTATGGGCCTTTGGCCTTTATACTGTAATAAAGAATCTGAATCTGAGTATTAGGGATAAGCATGTGTAGATCGAATTTGGGGAATATTGGTTTTTGTCACTTTGCAGACGACAAATTGATAATAGCATTTCTTATTCATTTTGATTAATAAAAAATTTGAGTGTGATACCCGAGATACAAAAAAACTGTAATTTGCATAACTACAGTGATGCCCGTGATCACGTGCTATTAACACGATGGCGATAACTGTTACAGTAAGTCCACAGGATAGTTCTATTTCCACTGTTTTTATTCCCTATCGTAGCGTTATAACAGAAATCAATTGAATCTTATTCCACAGACAGAAATAAGACCACAGATCAAAGTTTCACTAAAATTAAAGTTATTGGTACATTCAACTTGAATATGTCAGAAAAAACATGACAAAAATGGCAATAACTGGTCAGTGACCAGTACATGATGTTGGTAAGAATTGTTGGACTAAAATGTCAGGAATAAACACAACCAATAAACACTACCAATAAACACAACCAGTGAAGTGTCAGGAAATCCATGCTTGGTGGATCAGATAACTTCCATGAACGTGAAACTAATATTTTATAATAACAAATTGGTACAAGAAGCTCGTCTGCAAGATATTATAGAATATTAGTTATATATCCTGTGGAAAACTATATTAGTAACTTTGTGTCTATCATATTCAATCAATCAAACATTCATGGTCATTGTATAAAACATTTCTACGGCTCTCGTCACCATACAACACATCAGATATACTTGTCGTAACTACCAAGAACACAATCACTGTGACTGCCAAGAAAACATTGTTTCAATGTTTACCCTAAACACCATTGTTAGCTGTTCTGTCATGTTTGGCGACGATTCTATCACGTCAAAAGAACCACACACAAGAAAAAGTCACATGTAACTGTGGGTGTTGGATGTAGACTTATGGTGTATTGTATTAAACCACGGATCTCGATGGGACCGTGATTATACTGATCACAATAGCACAGCTTCCCTCACGAGGCAACACTCCGCGGGGAGAGTCTTACTGACTGACAGCGCGTGCCATGTCTCTTTCTCATCGCTTTCCAGGGGATGCTAAATCAGAAAATTATCCAGAGCATTCAAGTAGTCGCTATTACGAAGACCAACACGGAATCCAACTCACCTTTCATTGAATCCCTCAGTCATAACACTTTGTTCAGTAACTCGCGTTTCCTTCTAATGTTCGTGAACCTCTCCCACTGTCAACACCATCCACGCGCTGACCCCGGTGAAGGTCAAGGTCGCGTTAGGAATCGACCGGTGCGGCTGTATCTTTGAGACGAATACTTTGGTTTTTATCGCACTGAGCCCGAAACATTGAGAAGCGGGAGTGTGTAGTTTTTGATCATATTCATATAACTTGTTAAATCATCACAATAATCATACTTTTACACTTAAGACACTGGCTATAACTATTTACAAACTGAACAATTTGGAAGAATTATTTTTGCATGGCAAATGGAATTTCACGCTCGTGTCTTCTAATATCAATTATGTCAACACTAGTCGATAAAAGTTTGAACGAGTCAGCAAATGTCGGAGTTACTCACTCGTGTTTTTATTTGATATTTTAAGACACTAAGGTGAGAGACTATGTCTGGAGCGACAGATTTTATTGCTGTTTCAATGCAATGTGAAGATAAAATTGACAGATAAATAGTTTTTTTTAAGTTAACAACTCCAGATCACATTGGATTGGTGTTTTTCATGAATGTACTTGCAGCAGGCTGGGGATGTTTTCTCCAGCAACCCATGCTTGTCGTACAGGAGGCGACTAACTGGTTCGGGTGGTCAGGCTCGCTGACTTGGTTTATTCATGTCATCGTATCCCAGTTGCGTGGATCTTTGCTCATGTCAATCACTGGATTGTCTGGTCCTGACTATATTATTTACTGACCGCCGTCATATAGCTGTAATATTGTTGAGTGCGGCGTTAAAAAACAAACAAACAAATATTGCACAGTATTCAGATATGGTATTGCATTCTGTTAGAATAGAAATAATCTTCGCAGAAATGTGGTGAGGTATTTGCGATAATGAATGAATTAGTTAGGCCACGTGTTTCTATATTTTACGGATCCACCGACTGTCATTTTTTAAATGTTTGTTTTCTTCAGAATTTGCTCTTTTCACATATCAAGCTGATAGCATATTGCACCCCAAAATTATTTTCTAAACAAGGACCCGCTAAAGTGGGCAAATATTAAACATGGGGGTCAACATTAAGTTTGTTGTTGTTGACATTGATAGGATGCATAGATGCACAACAGTGTTCCCGCGTGATTCGTCAGGTCAGCATTGCTTAAATCAACAGTTGTGCTGCAGGCTCTCCTCCTAATTTAAACCATTTTAATTTTTTTTATACCAGCCGACCTGTAATGGAGAAAATATAGAAAAAAACGGAATTGCTTTCCCCCACCTACCGACAGGTATTTTCCTGTAAAAAAATCCGTAAGGCAAATAAAAAAGTGTGGCCTTAAATGTCCCGCTACATTTACAGTCAGAATACCCAACACAAACTTGAAAGGTTTCGTAAAAAGTTAGGGTGCGTCCTGCATGGATGACAGCTGCCCCACACAATGTGTGGAGTCATCGGGCTGTCGATTCCTACCTGGATTGAAACCATGTGACCAAAACTCAATAATGATGTTTATCGCTAAGAAAATTGATATTTCTTGAAAAGCGCACTTTGCAATTTTGTCATTACTGCAAGGAACACTCCTTATCGGCGGAATGGCTTGTTTCGCTATATATAGGAATTAGGACACATACAACTATCTTCGTTCATGAAAAATCGCGACATGTCGTGATTCTCTTTCAAGTGTCATGGACTATAACGCGTGTCATACGTCAATAGACTTTCAATATATTTTTATATTTTAGTTTGTTTCCAAATGGAATAAAAAGAAAAATGTGAAGTTTCCAAATATAGTTTTATGCGACTCGCCGTCGACTCGGAGTTTATGTCACGCCGATATTTCCCTTGAGGGGATTGGTACTGGGAAAGATTTTACTGCTGCTTCTGCAGATAATTGCAGATCGTGAATGAGTGAAGTAGGTAGGCGCCATCGTGTCAACATCTCGTAAATACACTCAAAAGACAACAGACAACGCGTATCTTACACAGTGTGTAACGACGTGGATGTCTTGTAAATACACTCAAAAGACAACAGACAACGCGTATCTTACACAGTGTGTAACGACGTGGATGTCTTGTAAATACACTCAAAAGACAACAGACAACGCGTATCTTACACAGTGTGTAACGACGTGGATGTCTTGTAAATACACTCAAAAGACAACAGACAACGCGTATCTTACACAGTGTGTAACGACGTGGATGTCTTGTAAATACACTCAAAAGACAACAGACAACGCGTATCTCACACAGTGTGTAACGACGTGGATGTCTTGTAAATACACTCAAAAGACAACAGACAACGCGTATCTCACACAGTGTGTAACGACGTGGATGTCTTGTAAATACACTCAAAAGACAACAGACAACGCGTATCTCACACAGTGTGTAACGACGTGGATGTCTTGTAAATACACTCAAAAGACAGCAGACAACGCGTATCTTACACAGTGTGTAACGACGTGGATGTCTTGTAAATACACTCAAAAGACAACACAGTGTGTAACGACGTGGATGTCTTGTAAATACACTCAAAAGACAACAGACAACGCGTATCTTACACAGTGTGTAACGACGTGGATGTCTTGTGAATACACTCAAAAGACAACAGACAACGCGTATCTCACACAGTGTGTAACGACGTGGATGTCTTGTAAATACACTCAAAAGACAGCAGACAACGCGTATCTTACACAGTGTGTAACGACGTGGATGTCTTGTAAATACACTCAAAAGACAACAGACAACGCGTATCTCACACAGTGTGTAACGACGTGGATGTCTTGTAAATACACTCAAAAGACAGCAGACAACGCGTATCTCACACAGTGTGTAACGACGTGGATGTCTTGTAAATACACTCAAAAGACAACAGACAACGCGTATCTCACACAGTGTGTAACGACGTGGATGTCTTGTAAATACACTCAAAAGACAACAGACAACGCGTATCTCACACAGTGTGTAACGACGTGGATGTCTTGTAAATACACTCAAAAGACAACAGACAACGCGTATCTCACACTGTGTGTAACGACGTGGATGTCTTGTAAATACACTCAAAAGACAACAGACAACGCGTATCTGACACAGTGTGTAACGACGTGGATGTCTTGTAAATACACTCAAAAGACAGCAGACAACGCGTATCTTACACAGTGTGTAACGACGTGGATGTCTTGTAAATACACTCAAAAGACAACACAGTGTGTAACGACGTGGATGTCTTGTAAATACACTCAAAAGACAACAGACAACGCGTATCTTACACAGTGTGTAACGACGTGGATGTCTTGTGAATACACTCAAAAGACAACAGACAACGCGTATCTCACACAGTGTGTAACGACGTGGATGTCTTGTAAATACACTCAAAAGACAGCAGACAACGCGTATCTTACACAGTGTGTAACGACGTGGATGTCTTGTAAATACACTCAAAAGACAACAGACAACGCGTATCTCACACAGTGTGTAACGACGTGGATGTCTTGTAAATACACTCAAAAGACAGCAGACAACGCGTATCTCACACAGTGTGTAACGACGTGGATGTCTTGTAAATACACTCAAAAGACAACAGACAACGCGTATCTCACACAGTGTGTAACGACGTGGATGTCTTGTAAATACACTCAAAAGACAACAGACAACGCGTATCTCACACAGTGTGTAACGACGTGGATGTCTTGTAAATACACTCAAAAGACAACAGACAACGCGTATCTCACACTGTGTGTAACGACGTGGATGTCTTGTAAATACACTCAAAAGACAACAGACAACGCGTATCTCACACAGTGTGTAACGACGTGGATGTCTTGTAAATACACTCAAAAGACAACAGACAACGCGTATCTCACACAGTGTGTAACGACGTGGATGTCTTGTAAATACACTCAAAAGACAACAGACAACGCGTATCTCACACAGTGTGTAACGACGTGGATGTCTTGTAAATACACTCAAAAGACAACAGACAACGCGTATCTCACACAGTGTGTAACGACGTGGATGTCTTGTAAATACACTCAAAAGACAACAGACAACGCGTATCTGACACAGTGTGTAACGACGTGGATGTCTTGTAAATACACTCAAAAGACAACAGACAACGCGTATCTCACACAGTGTGTAACGACGTGGATGTCTTGTAAATACACTCAAAAGACAACAGACAACGCGTATCTCACACAGTGTGTAACGACGTGGATGTCTTGTAAATACACTCAAAAGACAACAGACAACGCGTATCTGACACAGTGTGTAACGACGTGGATGTCTTGTAAATACACTCAAAAGACAACAGACAACGCGTATCTCACACAGTGTGTAACGACGTGGATGTCTTGTAAATACACTCAAAAGACAACAGACAACGCGTATCTCACACAGTGTGTAACGACGTGGATGTCTTGTAAATACACTCAAAAGACAACAGACAACGCGTATCTCACACAGTGTGTAACGACGTGGATGTCTTGTAAATACACTCAAAAGACAACAGACAACGCGTATCTCACACAGTGTGTAACGCCGCGGATGTCTTGTAAATACACTGAGTCTCAAAAGACAACAGACAACGCGTATCTCACACAGTGTGTAACGACGTGGATGTCTTGTAAATACACTCAAAAGACAACAGACAACGCGTATCTGACACAGTGTGTAACGACGTGGATGTCTTGTAAATACACTCAAAAGACAACAGACAACGCGTATCTCACACAGTGTGTAACGACGTGGATGTCTTGTAAATACACTCAAAAGACAACAGACAACGCGTATCTGACACAGTGTGTAACGACGTGGATGTCTTGTAAATACACTCAAAAGACAACAGACAACGCGTATCTCACACAGTGTGTAACGACGTGGATGTCTTGTAAATACACTCAAAAGACAACAGACAACGCGTATCTCACACAGTGTGTAACGCCGCGGATGTCTTGTAAATACACTGAGTCTCAAAAGACAACAGACAACGCGTATCTCACACAGTGTGTAACGACGTGGATGTCTTGTAAATACACTCAAAAGACAACAGACAACGCGTATCTGACACAGTGTGTAACGACGTGGATGTCTTGTAAATACACT